AATGATTTCTGAAGATCACGTGACACTGAAGACTGGAGGAATGATGCTGAAAATTCAGCATCACAGGAATAAATTACATTTTATAAGATATTCAAATAGAAAATAATTATTTTAAATGTTAATAATGTTTCACAATATTACTGTTTTCACTGTATTTTGATCAAATAAATGCAGCCTTAGTGAGCAGAAGAGACTTCTTTCACAAACATTAAAAATGTTACCGACCCAAACTTTTGTAAGGTAGTGTAAATAGCTTTTTTTGAGCCATTAATCAATTTTATCAATGTCCAAGGTGACTTTCTAAAGTCAAATGTGAAATTTGGTCTCGTCATAAAACTGATTTTCTTTATACCTTAACTAGACATAAATCTTGTTAAGCAGCGTCTGCTGTATTTTGATCAAATAAATGCAGCCTTGGTGAGCAGAAGATACTTCTTTCCCAAACATTAAAAATGTTACCGACCCAAACTTTTGTAAGGTAGTGTAAATAGCTTTTTTTGAGCCATTATGTCCAAGGTGACTTTCTAAAGAGTCGAATGTGAAATTTGGTCTCGTCATAAAACTGATTTTCTTTATACCTTAACTAGACATAAATCTAGTTAAGCAGCATCTGCCAAGACGTTAAGCATCCGCAGTGCCATGCGTTGCTTTCGGCTTACAGTGACTTGTGCTGTTTTTGTGTCAGTAAGTTAGGGAGCGTCTTTAAATAGTCAGCTATATTTATGCAGTGGTGCAGTTCGGCCGTCAAACATAGTCATGGTCTATTAAAAGAAAGCAGATGTCAGAGGAGCCCTGCTAATTCAGACAGCGTGTAGATTTAGGAACATCTGGCTAGACATGCGAGGAAGGTGTTTCTGGACTCTGCTGCACTACATTTAGTGCATTTCTTTTAGGCTATTTGGCAAACGTACACACTGGCTATATATGTACAGCTACGTAGAGTGCTATTTGAGTGTGTTTGTCTGGCTGCGTTCAGAATTTAACACTCACATACTGCTGATTCCATTCTTTGCAGTATACACATGTACTGTATACTTTTTGTTAAAAAATAGCATTTAACAAATTGCAGTTCACCGTATGCAAAAATAATAGAAACAATCATTAGTATTCATTAGACAGCAATCTGATTAAATAATGAGTCAAGAAGTTGATGTTATAAATCACAGCTGCAATTACGGTACTTTTGTCACACTGTAAATTGAAGGTCCAGTGTAATACATTTAATTATGGGATACAGTTTTGTGCTCTATATACTATACTGCTATACTATACTGCTCATTATGCTAATTGTAGCATGTCATTCGGTTGTTCTATGCATATATAAAATCTGCATATCATGCATGCTATGCAAAGCTAGAATGAGCAGTATGTTATTCCAAACATACCCTATGGTGCCATTTATTCGTTTTCTTGTCTTTCTGTCATCCCTGCAGCTGCAGGATATGAGAGGAGAGTCTGCAGGCGCAGTCGCAGATGAAGGTGCAGTTGCTTCAGATGTGTTACAGCAGGAGCGGGAGGAACAGCGCTTTCTGCTGGCCGACAGTCACAGCACAGCACTGGAGCTGCGCTGGAAACTGCAGCACGGAGAAAAGCGCTGGACCCACGAGCGGAATGAACTACTGGAGCGGTTCGAGAAAGAGAGGCAGGAGTGGGACCGCAGCTTACGGGAAATGTACCGCAAAATGGAAAAGGTCTGTGGTGTAATTCCTTCTTATTTCACTCATACACATCACTCAGTACATGGTAGACGAGACATGTAAGTGTGTTCAGTGCTGGAAGGTATTAGTATTAAGCGTAATTAAATATGGCAATAATCAAGTCACCTATATTTCTACAGCGTTTAATACAATACAGATTGTGTCAAAGCAGCTTCACAGAGATAAACAGGAAAATAGCGGAATCAATCATGGAAACTCATTATTTCTTTGTGCTTCGTTGTTTGAGCAGCATGTTAACATAATCATCATGATATAATCCACTGTACTCAGCATCTCAGAGCAGCTTAGTTTATAGTAAATGCATAAAACTCTGCTTGCGCTGAGAGTTTAACATGCATTTTTGTAATGCAACATGCACTAGGTTCACTTTATTAAAAAAAAATTTATATTGTAACAATTAAATATTGATTTTTTTTTTTTAATTGTGTTTATTGTAATTTACAACAGTAATATATTTATGTATTGATTTGTAATAATTAGAGTTAAATATAATAATATAATTAGAACTAAAATTATTATTATTATTATTACGTTTGATTGGGCTCCAGTTACAATGTCAAAATAAAACACTTTTTAATAAAATATTAAATATTTGATCTATTTGCATGCATGTCATGTGACCATTAACCAACATCAGAGAACCATGAACATGGAAATGTGTTGTTGAATTATAGAAATATTCATTTATAATCTCAGGAGAGACTTCAAGTAAATGTTTTACGGTTAAGCCAGACAAAAAACCCTGCCTTAGAAGATAGTTGCCTATGTGGACAGTTGGCAGAAAGACAGCTTACTAGGTCTTGAAACAAAGTCAGTATCTTCTCTTCTCCATCCCAGATGCAGAAAGATGTTCTCCAGCCAGAAGGAGGCACAGTGCATGTCTTCTCTCCTCAGGAGAGCCCCTGTAAGGCTCCTAGATCTCCACTCTCCCCCTGCACAGCCGCACACACGCGTTCCCACTCCGACTCGGAGGCCACACTGGAGGAGAAGGGGGCGATGGGCAGACCCAGACCCTTTGAGGGACACCGGCCCCCAGAGAGCCTGTTCGTGGATGCCCTCTCTCTGGATCCTCTGAGCGAAGCCGAGGTGCCTCCTCCATCACGTCTGGAGAGCGAAAAGCGGTTCCCCCACATGAAGGAAGTAAGAGAGACATATCATGCTTTTTTTTTTTGTTTGTTTTTAATAAGGTCCACTTATAATGTTGTTGTTTTTTTGTTTGCTTTTTTTTTTTGGCACCAAAATATATTTTTTGTTTTCATTCATTATCCTCTCTCTGACCCTTATTATTAAACAGGCTGTTTTTGCTGCTGTAAAAGAGTTCTATATGTAAATTACCTCTTTTATGATTGGCTAACATCTTTGCATGTGAAATGAGGAAGAATTATTACATGGCAAAACTATCTGCACTCAAATGTACTGCATACATTTTTAAAGCAAGTTAACAATTTGTGGCTTTTATGTTTTAACTGTGTTGTTGTTTCAGGCACTGAATGAGATTTCTGAGAGTGTGGATCCTGCCATTTACCCTGAGGAAGAGAAGAGTGGCGGCAGCCTACTCAGGTATGGTTTTTGTTTACAAGTATGTGTGTGTTTGAGTATGTGTGTGCTAGTCTAAGTGAGTAAAGTGACTTTGTTCTTCTCTTAGGAACCTAAAATTCCTCTGAAGAATAGCAAAGCTTGACAAAACTTGAAAACAGCTACATAAATGGATATGCTTAGACTGCTGTTGTTGTCATTTCGGCAACATCTCAGGAGAATTGAGAATGGAAAGGAATGGTTTAATCTTAGTAGGCCAGAGATTAAATGTGCCAGCAACAAAGTAAAGATAACTTCATCAGTGCATGTGTATTGTTCTAATAAAGATACTTATCCTTTGTGGCTGACACATTAAACCCAGCGCGCTGCCTACCTATAGAGTGCTTTAAAGTATCATCGGCATGCTCCTGATGGAGTTATTCCTATGTTCGTAGGGTTCTATGTTCCCCAGTTACCAGACTTCCATGTTCTTGAGGGTTCTATGTTCCCCAGTTCCCAAGATCCCCTGTTCCCAAGCTCTTACGTTATTAGGGTTCTGTGTTCCCCAGTTTTCAGACTTCCATTTTCTTATGGTTCTATGTTCCTTAGTTTTCAGACTTCCATGTTCTTAGGGTTCTATGTTCCCCAGTTCCCTAGGTCCCCTGTTCCCAAGCTCCCACGTTCTTAGGGTTCTATGCTCCCCTGTTCCCTGGATCCATTGTTCCCGAGGTTCTATGTTCCCTAGTTCTTAGGGTCCCATGTTCTCAAGGTTAGGGGAGTATAGTGTTAACTCTGAGAACATACGGTAGATGCGCTCCCCTTGAGACACAAAGGCTATTCCAAAAAGTAAACAGCGACATTGTGCTGCTTTATAACATACTTTCTGTGAGCATTGCGTCTATCGTTGGTTACAATGTTTAGCAACACCAATGTAACTTTTCATCCGTTTTTACCTCCACAGGGCGAAGTCAGTCTGCTCCATGAGTGACTTCCAGCGTTTGATGGACAGCTCCCCCTTCCTGCCAGATAAGAGCAAGCCTGGCGAGCATGAGCGGGATGATGTGACTCCTCCCCTTTCACCAGATGACCTCAAATACATTGAGGAGTTTAATAGTAAGGGTTGGGATCTGCCCACCAGCTCCCTGGCCGCTTGCCCCATTCCTGGCCCAGTAATCCCCTCTCCAGTGATGGAGGCCTGGGCAGAGAGGGCAGAATCCCGAAGGGCCGAGTCTACTTCAGAAGCATTCCAGCCAGCCTCCTGGTACCTGACCACCAGCACTACCTTGACCACCAACACCATGAGTATCCCTGAGTACTGCCAAAAGCTCCCACTCAGGGCAACCCAGGGGGGTGAACAGTTTGGGGTGCAGATCCTCCACAGTCCCGTTCGAGGGGAGCGGTCAGCTCCAGGCCCCCCTGAGCAGGAATACATGTTCTCCAAAGTGACCAAAGTAAAGGCAGGAGAGGTAGTAGGCGATGCTGAGGAGGTGTTTGGAGGAAGGTGGCCATGTGAGCTAAGGAGTCATTTGGAGGCAGGACTTAGGCCTGGAGAACGTCCATCGATTTGCGCTGCTGTCGGGTATACCTCATCATTAGAGCTGGAGCTGGCACGGAATCTGAGCGATGACATGAAGGAAAAGGCGTTTTCTGCTCGGAATGCCATCCGATCATCTTCTGCATCCGGATCGAGCCCTCCGGAAAGGCAACTACGGGACATGGCATGTCAGACGAATGGTTTAACCACACGGGGAACACAGACCACCCTGACCATCAGCGTGGGATTGCAAACAGAGGCTGTTCGCACCCTCACAAGCAGCCCTCACCGCTGTCTAACGCCCAAAGGAGGCTCCACACCCATCTCATCTCCTTCACGTAGCCTGAGAAAGATGCAGTACTCTCCAGTCGTTCAAGCCAAGTTTGAACGCCCATGCTGTTCTCCAAAATATGGCTCACCTAAGCTCCAACGGAAACCTTCTAATTCTGGCAAAGCAGAACAACCTGTTGGCCAAATCCGTGCTCCCACCCCAACAACCACTGCTCAGCAGCAAAAAGGGAACAACGAATCCGCTTGGGCCCGTTCCACTACGACCAGAGACAGTCCCGTTCACACCACCATCAACGACGGCCTCTCCAGCCTCTTCAACATCATCGACCACACGCCCATCGCATACGACCCTATTCAGAAATTCAACAAGTCCCCTAGCCGCTCTCGTCCCACTGAAGCAGGGCCTCAAGAGCCAACGGACCCCAAATCTCCCAGTGTTTGTGCTGCACAGGGGCCTTTGAGGAACTCTCGGGGCCGGTCCCCAAGCCCTGTGCAGCTGATTGTAGAGACGCAAGACGAGAAAACTCCAGAGGTGATTAGCATCAGACAGGACCTGTCCGCTCCTCCAGGCTACACGCTAGCTGAGAACGCAGCACGGATCTTGAATAAGAAACTACTGGAGCAGAGCTTCAGAGAAGAAAGGAGGCTTTCCGCTTCATCCGCAGCTGCTCCAAACAAAACCGGAGACACAGAGAAACCAGGATGTCTTGAGGTAACTGAGAGGTTTATTTTATTCTACCTAAAGGAAGAACACTATATGCTCTTTTATAGCTTAGGAGAATTAGTTCACTTGAAAAATTGACCTTACTTTCTTAATAGTTGTGCCTGTTTGTCCTTGTAATTTGTCATCAAAATGAAGATTTTGTTATAAATTCTAACTTTTGATTTCAGACTTTAGTATCTTGGCAATTCTGAGCACAGTTTGAGACATTATTATATTATATTATATTATATTATATTATATTATATTATATTATATTATATTATATTATATTATATTATTGCACTATATTAAGGATAATTGGGCAAAATTTTAAACCAGAATACAATTTTAATATATTACAATTATGATATTAAAAATATATTATATTTTTTATTTATTTTGGAGGAGAATTATGACTTGGACAGGTTTTGTCACCAAACCTCTATATTGTGCTAAAATGTTTAAATTTAAAGGACAGTGAGCTGCTTTTACAGGTTTTACCGTAGACGCCCTGCGACACGGCCAGACTTGCCAGATCCCCACTGTAGCTCTAACCTGAGTCTGATGTGGTTGTGTAATTTTGACCAGTGTGTTTACTCCTGTTTTTCTGGGTTGTCTCCAGAACCATACTATCTTACTAACTGCACCCTGGGGACTGTAACGCAGCTTGTGCTCGCCGTGCAGTAAGTTCCACCGATCTTACTTGGCCTTTGACCTCACAGTGACCTCACTTGTGTTCCGTCTGACTGATTTTAATGGATTTCTCTCACCGCATGCCACACAGTTTGTAGACACCGTATCACCGCTAGGCATTGTGGGAAATATTGTGTGTGCTTTGTTGTGGTCACACTTTCTTTGTCCTCATGTAGGTATGAGCATGCCCATCGTCTGATATTAATTACGTCACCAATAAACAGTCATCCAAAAAGCCTAAATTATCCCAAGCATTCATTCACATGGGGTGGGATTTCATAAGGCAAAACACAAGAAACTTTGGCTGATATATAGTGGTTCAAATGTATTTACCTATTTTAAAGATAAATAGCACATTGCAAACTATTCAAGTGCAACATGTCCCAAACAGACATTTTAAAAGATAAAACTATAAAACTAGTGTTTAAAATGAAAACAAAAAGTATTTGGACACTTTTTAAAGTGACTTAAAGCGATAGTTCATCCAAAAATGAAAATTGTCATAATTTACTCGGTTTCTTTCTTTCATTTGAGTTTCTTCTGCTAACAAGATATTTTGAAGAATGTTGCTAACCAAACATTTGATGGTAGCTATTGACTTCCATAGTATTTTTTTTCCATACAATGGAAGTCAATGGCTGCCGTCAACTGTTTGGTCGCCAACATTCTTCAAAATATCTTCTTTTGTGTTCAATAGAATAAAGAAATTCATACAGGTTTGGAACAACTTGAGGGTGAGTAAATGACAGAATTTTCATTTTTGGGTGAACTGTCCCTTTAAGTGTACAAATACCTTTGGAGTCACTGTATCAAACTCACAAGTGGCGTTTTGGATGGTGTAACCATTTTGACTATATAATCACCTTTTTTTTATATTTTTCTTAGGTACGTGTTTGTGTGTTTGTAATTGTATTATTTTTGTCCATTTTAAAGGGTCTTAACCTCACCAGCCCTACTGATGGAAACTACAGCGTAACATCTCGTGCATTCTCAGTTCACTGTATTGTAATGTTTGCTGTCTGGTGTTGACAGGATGTGAGCGGCGCTCAACATTACTGCATGCTAGCAGTGATAGTGGTGTGTTGGGGTCGTTTGGGGTTCATTGGCTGGTGTTGGTGTTGGCTGTGCCTTTGCTACAGCGTTTAACATCTGCTGCTAATGCTGGGTCTCATTTCTTAACATCTAACAGCAACTTTACGCTCGTTCAAAGCTTGCAATTATAGTGTGTTTCAGGTTAATTGTTATAGATTTGTGATGCATTTCATATAGTGATATTTATATTATTTTAATATATTTTCAGTAATTTTTTTGTGCTTTTGTCATTTTTATTAGTTTTTTATTTATTTTTAGCTTTTATTTCTTTTTATTTCGGTTGTAATATTTTTAGTACTTCAACTTCAAACTTAATTTATTTCATTTAGTTGCCAAGGAAACATTTCTAATTTTCTTATTGTTTAAGTTTAATTTTAAGTTTAAGTTTTTCATCTGATATTTATATTTAATTTTATTTCAGCCTTATTTAAATGAATGATTAACAAGATGAGAAATCATTAGTTTTAGTTAATAATAACAACACTGGTTTCAATGCTGATTATGATGTCACTGGAGTGCAGAAACATTCGGGTTGTTATTATTTATTAATTTTTTGCCTCCGTTGAACCGCAGGACTCCATTTAAATTAACTTTGCATCAGCTTCAAAGTCTCACTCAAAAACCGAACGCAGATTCAAGACGTAGTAAATCCCTGTTTCTGAATTATTCAAACAACAGAAAATATCCACCTCTCATGCTGGAATCTCATTCATTTTTAATGAAAACTGTTTAAAATGAATCAAGCTGAAACCACGGTTTTCCTCAAAAGTCAGATACAAACTGAGTGTTATTCTTTACTATTTGCTACAGACAGTATGAAATGGATGTTAATCCATTTTAGTTAAAAGTTTAAACTGTAAAAGCACTAATGCTTGCAGACCAGTGTTATTTTAGTATTATGTATATACTATTATAGTATTTATTAATATTTAAACTTTGCAATTAACGTTTATTTTTATATTTTGAGTTTTCATTTTAATGTTAGTTTGTTTTAGTAATTTTGTTGTGTTCTTTTGTCATTTTTATTAGTTTTAGTTTTTATTTCTGTTTAGCTTACATTTATTTTTATGTCAGTTTTACTCATTTTAGTACTTTTTTCAGTTAGTTGCAAAGGCAAGGCACTAACTAACATTTCTAATTTAAGTTTCTTATTTTCATTACTTTTTTATTTTATTTTAGCTTTATTGCATTGAACAAAAAATGGTTTTAGTTTTTAATTTATATTTAACGTTAATATAATCTTTATTTCAGTTTTATTCATTTTAGTACTTCAACTTATTTTATTTAAGTTAGTTGCCAAGGTAACATTTCTAATTGAAATTTAAAATTTTCATTTAATATTTATATTTTATTTCAGCTTTATTTCAAATAATGAAAGCATGTTTAATATTTTTAGTTTTTTTATCCAGTTTTGATTTATTTTTATTTCAGTTTTAGTCATTTTTAATAGTCTTAAAGGGGTCATATGATGCTGCTAAAAAAGAACATTATTTTGTGATTTGGTGTAATGACGTGTTTATGCGGTTTAAGGTTCAAAAAACACATTATTTTCCACATACTGTACATTACTGTTTCTCCTCTATGCCGCGCCTTTCTTTTTTTTACAAAGCTCATCTCTTTATGCACCAAGAGCTTGTAACACTCCAAAGAGAAAGGAAAAATTTAAATCGTATCATATGACCCCTTTAATAATTTTTGTACTTCAACCTGAACTTAATGAAATTTCTATTTTCATTCAAGTTTTTTTTTTTAATCTAATATTTTATTTTATTTCTGCTTTATTTCAGTTAACGAAAACAACTGACAATTCAGCTAACAATAACACCACTTTCTTCCTTGACACAGGACTTGCCTCGTTCGCCAGTGGCTCCACCTCTGGACTCCTGCTTCCTGCGTCCGGCTCGTCCTGCCAACCGCCGTCCTCCGTCCCGCTGGGCCGCCCACTCGCCCTCATCCTCGCCCAACTACAAAGACCGATCGGAGATGTTCCGCTTCCCCTCGCCCGTCAGACCGGTTCAGACCATCCCGGAGATAGAGGAGCCCGGTCAGGAGGTTTTCCCTTAACCAGCCTAGACTTCATCCTTCTGTGCTTTCTGTCACCTTGAGTTCAGTCAGCAACCAGTTTATCTCAACCTCAAGTATGATTTTAAAATTTCAGTTCTGAAATGCCCCGAAAAAGGGAAGTGTGGTGATAAATCAGGATTGTATTTATGCTTTCACTCTCCTTAACCATCTCCCATTCCTGACCACACACGTACTACGCACACCGTCAGAGCGACGGAACCATCGAGAACCTTTCTAAAAAACATTTAACTGCCCTGCCACTAGAGGGCAGAGTTCTGTGAGCACCAGCTGAACTGATCCAATAGGAAACAGTTCCAGAAATTCCGTTTCGGAATTATCAAGGACCTGGAATGCACTGACGCAAAACACCGCAAAGTGTTCCATAAGAGGTGCCTACACACGCGTGACCTCGCGACGGTCCCGTACTCGTGTGTGTCCGTGTACAATGTATGCAATACATACCACTCGATATGTGTTGGTCATGAAGCCGCAAACTTCTTTTCAGATGTTCTGAAAAATATAACTGGATAGTAATAACATTTGTCGGATCAGCATAAAAGTTTACATGTGTTGATTTATATCCATTTTGGAGGGGTGAAAATCATTTGTTAAATTATGTTCTGTGTATATAGTTTATAAAGCTATTTTCTTAATTTCTGCGTACATCCCGTATCGTTGGAAACCTTTGATGCTTGAATTAAAAAGACTCAGTTGTATTTGTAAAGAGAATTAGATAAAAACTAAAGGAGAAACACACACACACTCTAGTTCGACAGGGACAGATGATACATGATGTCAATCATAATGTATTTAAAACCCAATGTAAAACTGAATGTTCGACTCTGCAGGATTCCAATTGGAAGTTAACGTCGTAATTTGAAACCAGTTGTAAAAGAGTTTATGAACTGTAACAACATGTAAATCTGCTCTGGCTGAAACATGCTGCAAAAACAAAGAAGAAAAATAAATATAAAACTCAACATGTTTCCCTCAGATCTAAGATTTAAATGCATGAATATTTATTAAGCCATCCATTGAGGCAGTCTATGATTGGTTGTTGGTTGCTTAGCAACTCATTTGTAACATTCTAACACTGCATTGTTTCATACTGTAGAAGTTTGGCAGCAAATTGTGACCCACATCCGATAATGGTTCAAAGTGATGCAAACCTATTTTCAAAATTAGAAGTGTGCGAAGCTGCTCGAACCAGGGTCAAAATTAACCCTAAAGGAATAGTTCACCCGAAAATGAAAATTTGCTGACAATGTACTATGTAGATGTTTTTTCATCAGAACTGATTTGGAGAAATGTAGCATTCCATCACTTGCTCACCAATGGATCATCTGCAGTGAATGGGTGCCGTCAGAATGAGAGTCCAAACATCTGATAAAAACATCACAAAAACAAATCCATCATTAAGACGTTTTAACTTAAAAACCGTTGGATTTTGATGTGAGAGACAGCAGGGGATGGACTTTTTCACTGGAGTATGGAGTATAGTATTTCGGCCAGAAGTGACTATTTAAAGTTAAAACATCTTAATGATGGATTTGTTTCTTACAAACACACAGCTTATGGCTTCTCACGTCATTAATTGATGGACTGGAGTGGTGTGGATTATTGTGATGTTTTTATCAGCTGTTTGGACTCATTCTGACGGCACCCATTCACTGCAGAGCATCCATTGCTGAGCAAGTGATGCAGTGCTACATTTCTCCAAATCTATTTCCATGAAAAAACAAACTCATCTACATCTTGAATGGCCTCAGCAAATTTGCATTTTTGGGTGAACTATTTCTTTTGGATTGGATAGTATCCAATAGTTTAGGATTGGTTCTAAATTATGAGATCTATTCCACTATAGAATCCAGTGCAGGTTTCTTCTGGATGTCTTGACTAGGATTTGGACAGCAGTTGTGCAGATATCATATTTGATATGCATGCCTTTAAACACTAGCACTTTAGTGCATGTACTGAGACGCTGTTGTACCTTGTGATAAAGCTCTTGATGTAAGCCCACACACACACTGCTGTTCACTGTGTGTGGCGGCTCATGTCATTTTCGTTGCCATTAAATTTGCATTGACACAATTGATTGTGAAGCGAAAAGCTGCATGTTTGTAAGAAACAAATCCATCAAGATGTTTTTAACTTCAAACTGTTGCTTCCAGTTAAAATGGGAGTCATCCGTTTGCTGCATTGTCACTGGAAATGGATTTGAGATCTCGTTTGAGTCTGTGCTCGACTCTTGGGTCCTGATAAGATAATTACTGTGATGTCTGTTGATCTAATTGTCCCGCCCATGTGTTTCAGATCCGCTGTGTACCTTTGTGTTTGGACTTTCACTGCTGCTTCAGCTAATCTTCTTCATCAAGTTAATGGGTTTCCACGTCTGATCTTGCACAACCGTGAACATCTCTGTCCTCCTAAACATTAATCCAATCTGTGTGGATGAGAACCTGTAATCAAATAAGTGTTCAGATCTGTGGAGCTCTGAACCGTGAGTCTGCAGAAGTCTGAACCTCATGAGTGCAGCTGTCAATCAAATCAAACTCAATCAATTATCTATCTATCCATCCATCTATCTATCTATCTATCTATCTATCTATGCGTCTGTCTGGCCGTCACTTTCTGTTGTTCTTTCTGTCTTTCTTTCATCTTCTTTCTCTCTATCCACAAATATTGACAGAACTTTGAATCATTTTACAGCTGTAATTCAACTGGACACAGTATAACGGAGTGAAAGACCGTGTTTGTTCTCCCAGCAGAAGGTGAAGAGCCTGCGACAGCAGATCTGGAGCCAGAAGACTTGAGTCTTGCAAGACGGTGTGCATTTGAGTGTGTGTGTGAGAGGCAGTGGGCACAGTCATTGTCGGGCTGCTAAACCTTTGCACGCTCTTGTTAAGATGAAGGGTCTTGCCAAGATGACTGTTGTCATGGTAACAGCACCACTGCAGCCCAATGTGAAGTCATGATATTCTGATGCAGCATTTCTCTCATCTTGCATCTGTTTGTACAGTCATGTCAACTTGATTCAGCCCTCAGGTGCGTCCATATAAACAAATATCAGACATAATAAAAGCAAAATTCATTTAAATCCATGTTTCAGTGGAAAGCCTATCACACCAGAGCATCAAGAAAATGTCTGTGATAAATCCTGGTAAACACATTACATAACAGTTCAATATAACAACGATATAACACTAACGTTATGTTACGATGTAAAACCCTTAAGAAAATGCTTCTTATTTATAAATCTTATTTAAATCGTATGATTTTTTTTAAGCTCTTTTAATATTACGCTGTTTCATGGGAGCATCTGTTGGGGTGAAGCTTAAACAGGAAAAAAAAGGAGATTGAAAAAATGATCTTTTGATAAAGAACATGGACGTAATTTTCCACTGCCTGCGAGCATATCAGGAAGATTAAGATTTAAGCAGAACACAACAGGACAGAAGTGCTCTGTACAGATAGAGAGGGGTCAATAAGGTTGTGTTATTCTCAATGAGCCACAAGGGGGTGTGTGTGTGTGTGTGTGTGTGTGTGTGTGTGTGTGTGTGTGTGTGTGTGTGTGTGTGTGTGTGTGTGCGCTGGTATATATGGTTTACGAGAACACAAATGTGTATAATGACATGGGTACTACAACGTGAACATGGTTTATGAGGACACTTCCTGTGTCCCTGACTCCCGTAAAACAAAAGGCTTAAAAAACATACAAAACGGTGATTTATGAAATTCAAAAATTGGCAGTAGTTTTCTATAAGGGGTAGGTTTAGGTGTAGGGCGATAGAAAATACAGTTTGTGCAGTATAAAAACTATTACGCCTATGGAGAGTCCCCATAAACCATAAAAACAAACCTGTGTGTGTGTGCGTGAGTGTGCG